GAATGGAGAGGAGAATAGAATGGCTGAGCTCAAATGTTTGGAGAGAGAAGTTAAGATGAAAAAAAACAAAAAACCTTGAGAAGTAGTGAGCCCCCCATGATTAGCGGTATGCGAGCAGTCTGGGTGACTGGCTGAAGTGTGCTGCAAAGGGGACCGGAGCGTCAGACAGGAGGGCGTGTGGGACTGAACACCTTGGAGGGGCCTTCTACCCCTGACATTCTATGATCCTGCAACTTCAACCATTCCTAGAGGTCTGACGCGCTACGTCCCCTAACCATTACTGAAGGCAGGTTTTGTCCTGTCACTGTGATTTCAGTAGGAACAGATGGGTCATGCTGTACCAACAGGGGTGAGTGAGAGCTTCCACCTGCTCTGCTATCAGAATGCCTGCACCCGAATGGAGGGGCTTAGTGACACCTCCCCAAATCAACTTTTGGGTCAAGACATGGCAACATGGTGGGGGCAGAGGTGCTAGATTCTTCCAGACCCGGGTGTTAGAATGGAAATATGCTGCTTATTACCTGTGTGACTGGAACATGACTCAGCTGGGTGAGCCTCAGTTTCCACCTCTGTAAAATGGGTATACCATGGTCCTGTAGGGGCGATTCTCAACCCGCAGTGGTGTCACGCCTCCCACCCCTACCAGCCAGTCTGGGAATGTGTGGGCCATTTGGGTTGTCACAGTGACTGGGTGCTACTAGTCTAGAGACCTGAGATGCTCAACATCCTGCAACAAGCTGGCTCCTTCACAGTCCAAATGCCAAAAGTGACCCGGACCCCATTCAGAATCATGGCTCTGGGGAGTGATTATGAGAAGGCACAGAAGGGGGAACTCGGCACATGGAAGATTCGAGCTGTTCTTCCTCACGGAGGGAGGGTGAGGGGCTGGGCGGCCTCCGTAGGGGCCCATGAGTTCCCAGAAGAACAGTGTCTGCTTAAAATTTCTGCCGAGAAAGAACACACCGAAAGAAGGGGACCAGAGCCCCCCCCTGGACTCGGGGGCAGGGCTTACCCAACATGCACAGTGGCTTCCTGGCAAACTTCAGCCGTCCCCGCCAGCCTTTGTATCGGCAGCAACATCCGGCAGCCCAGATCCTCAAAGCAAACTCGGCTCCGAAGATGAAAATAGCAAATGTTTCCTGCATTGAAGAACATATGGAGAGACACTGGTTAACCGGGGCCCAGTTGTCCAGAACCAGTTGTCAGAAGAACTGGGTTTCTGTAGCTCTGGTCATGGAGGGGAGGCAGCAGGTGAATACCTCCACTCAGGTCGGACAGCTCCCGTCTTCATTCTGATGTGCTAAGTGTCCGTAACCTGAAGCCTTGGAAAAGGATTACTTGTTCTTTTCTCTGTATTTCTGTTCCAATAGATCATTTAAAAACAAAAAAATCCCGTTTATGTACTAAAAAAGCTCCTAAGAAGTGCAGTTGGGTTGAAAAGAGAGGTAGGTACCAATGAAATAATCTACCGACTAGTCCCACCCAGTGTTAATTATGGCCCATGGTTACTGAGCACGGCTCCTGGGCCAGCGCACTACCCAGATATTATCCTCATTTTTACGTTTTGAGAAACCAAGGCAAAGAATGGTTACACCGATTTCTCAAGGCTACGCAGTGGCAAAGCAAGACCCAGGCTGGGACTCTGGCTCCGAGCCCATGTCACCATGTGAGCACCATGCTGCCTCCTGGGACACTGGGTCTGCGC